TTTTAGAAGAGTACTCGAAGAAATCCTCGGACGGTGTCCTTGTCAAATTTGGTCGAGTTCGATTATCGATGGGTCCGTAACTGGGCAACCAACAGCGTGGCGAATTCCACGAGTTGTCACAACGCGACCACGGCTGATCCGCTCGGAATGCCGCAAAGAAATAGTAAATTGCGTAGGCTATTATCACATTATGGTAGGTTGATATCAGAAATGATATCACGACTGACGACAAACCAGCTCCTGCAGAGATACAAATATATCATAGAAAATAGCATGTAAAAGAGACACATACTTTTCTCTCTAATTAAAATATATATTTTTCGAAAGGCTCGTTAAAATTGAGAATTTAAACCGCTTACGTTCGCAAAAAAGAAAATAGATAAATAAAAGGAAGACGACGCTAATCTTATAATTCAAACATCCTCCAATTATAATCTCCAAATTAACGTGTTTCAAGTTACCGCACTTTTACGATAAAAATGAGCGCGCGAAAGCTTTCAACGACCATCGGATTTTATCGACAATCTATCATTCGATGACTTATTCATTTACCTTTCAATAACGGACACACTTGACCCAGAGCGCCGATTGGGCCGCGACGAGTGAACTGTCCGATGCTGAGTTCCATGTACAGTAGTGGTACTCCGCATACTACGAGTATTAAAAAGTAAGGCACGAGGAACACACCTGAAATATAATGCGATCGATATAAACAAAATTGTCCATCAAGCATTCGATATTAAAATTAATAATTTTCTATTTAAAAAAGCATTGAGAGCTCTTTTTTTTTTCCAATAAAAAAATTGATCTAGTTTACACAAGACACACGTGGATTTGCCAAACGTTTCGCTAAACACGTTACGCGTGTTCACGTAATGATACTTGACTTTAATCATAATGTGGGCAGTGACAAGGTCACTGGATGTAACTCTTTATTCGCAATAAACGACGATCGTAGTGTCGCGGATTATGACTTAATTCGAGCATTTAGTCACCGTGGATATGACGATTAGTCAGCTGTTGACAAGTTTTCCTCAATTGTCAAACTCGCCGGTTCATTTACCATCTCACTTACCATCGTATTTCTTATTTATTTAGCGGCGCGGCTATAATATACCTTCAGCTCGATGTTACTTTTGATGGAAGATAAGACATTGATTTTGTTCGCACAGGTTTTTTTTTTTTTTTTTTTTTTTATAAGCGCGCGCGATCATACATATGTAATTCGCTTCGTACATTTCGGGAAGATGTAAATTAATCCCCACACTGCAGAATGCTATATCGCATCGCACGCATAAATCATACGACGTTATCCGATCTGTTTTTTCGTCGCTTCAATCTAGCCGAACAACGTACGGATGACAGTTTTCATTTAGTTTAACCGACGATACAAATAATATATTTGCGTTTATACTTCAAATAAATTATCGCCAGATATATTAAACATGAGGATGCGCGCGTAGATAACAATCGGCTGATTCCACGTGACGTATCAATGGAGATTGCAGGCTATTTAATTTCTGGCGAAAATCCAATCGCGTCGAATTACAAGGCGGATTATGACACACATTCGCATTAATGTTGTTACAGTTATTTTCAACAATGTCGTCTTTATCACGAAAATGCAATTTGGCGTTGCGGCACAATGAATATCGGAGCATGCATCTCGTGCAAGTAGAGCCATATTATTTCCTCTGATTTTCCGGTCTCCTGTTTAATATATGATTTCGCAAAATTACATACTCTCACACACGCACACGCGCACGCATACAGGTGTATTTTTACAGTAGTTCTGCGTGTTATTTGTACAATAAATTAACTTGTGTATGCATGATTGTTGAAATTACAAGCTAGTTTCTAGCTCATCATATATGCGGAGATTATGTATATATTACACAAAGTTACGATCAAATAAAGCTGCTTTCAGTTGTGCGTTTATCTACAAATAAAAATAGTTTTAAGAGAGATATATATTTTGTATGATTTAATTAATTAATTTATTTAAGCAAAAAATTTGTTTCGCTCTTGTTAAATATTTTTAAACATTTTACGTCTTTATTTTACAATCATAATAAACATACAGAGAGTTAATTAAAATCAAAATAAGAAATTCCAACATAAGAAATTTTGGGATAATATAAGCATTAAAAACGTTTTTATATATTCACTAACTGCGTGCTTTAACACACAACCGACGCGCGTGATTGATAAAACTGAGTAGATAGCCAGTTTATGCTTTCGATAGGAATCGTTAATCGCTCTTCGATCGATTTTCGATCAATTTCTCGTTGTTTCTTAATTTCTTCACGCGTAGATTTCAATCGACGTTATCCGAATGAAACGATGAATCGTTTAAATCATGTAAATCGAATCGCGAGCCGGTTTTCCGGCTCTTCAATTTAAACCGGCAGTACCGGCGAAGTGATTCCCGACCGATTATTTCCACCGGTGTCATTGAAATCATTTACCATGCCCGGCGGAGTAGCCGCGTTCCGGCAAGGTCATGTATCAAGTTCCGCGAGCGAATTGCGCCATGCATCCGGGCTCCGGATGCTTTCAGACTTTGAAAATTGCCGGCAACACGATACGCGCTCACGTTGCAGGGATTGCAAGAGTGCTTGCTCTTGCCCTGAATCCGAAGCTCGACTTACGCAAGACGTCAGGATTTTTTCACAGGATCCGCCTTAATTCGATCTTCCGCGACACGGTATAATCTTTCCCTCACTTAGAGTACGCGCTTTTCATTCAATAATGATATTCTTCACGCAATTGACTATCAACTGTTGCGATAGTTACGTTTCAACGTCACGCTGTTTTGTCCCCGACAAAATATGTACTTGAAGAATAAGAAGTGATACTTGAAAAACGCTTCTAAAAGAAAAAAAGAGTGAAGAGATGTTTCATAATTTTGTAAGATGATCCGTAACGTGACTTTGATGTTCGTAAAAATTAGAGGACGATACCTCGGAGTGTGTTGCTTCGTCAGCTGTTTCGCCAACTGACGTATTTTGCGACGCGCAAAATAACCGCGTACTCTTATCATAGTCGTGCTAATCGTGGCGACATGTTGCGATTGCGCCGTTTGCTTGCTTGACATTTACAGATTTATTTTTGGCTACAATCATATATATATATATATATATATATATAGGTAACATCTGTGTAAATCTTTATTCTCCTTTTTTTTTCTTTCCATTTTTTCTCTTTCTCATCCCGTAAGACTTTTAATTTCGAATTGAATTTGATTTTTAGAATTGAATACAAGATTTATGTCACGATTACGAGCAATTTACATAGATTAATAAATTAATATTACTTATCGTGAGACTCACCGCCGCCACTTTTGTAGCATAGATAAGGAAATCTCCAGAGGTTACCGAGACCGACGGAGTAGCCTATGCAGGCCAACACAAATTGCATTTTATTCGCCCAATGGGGCCTTCTGGGTTGCCGATAATCACCAGAATCGTCCGCATCTCCATCGTCAAAGCTGGCACACGTGGAAAGATCGTCCTCGAAACTGCAAAAATGCGACGTACCTTTATATTGCAAATGCAGCCGAGCAAGAACGAAAGACATCTACGGCGCGGAATGTGAAAGAAAAATTGAGAGATACTCCGGAAAAATGTTGCGAGAGCCCAATTTATGACGTTATGAGATATGTCGTTTTAGCGAAAGAGAGAATAGTGTAACAAGCATTTTATGAAATATTTCCTTAAGCGAATAATTATAATTCCTGTAAGATGTAGTTTTTGAAAGATAATACTCGCCAAATTCCTTCGAAACAACGAATATAGATCGACGAATATTATCAGTCTGTTACCCTTTTTTTTTTTTAACTATTTGACGATCACTTCACGCGTCAATGGAAAATGTTTGATGCATCGTGAATTTTAATTGATGGAAAATCATACATGGGTCGATCACATGTCAATCGGTTACGCGTGGACGTGCCTGCACAATTTGCATGACACGCGTACGCGAACAAATCCAGCAACTATTAAATATTCATCGTCATTGTTTATAGAATGCGATGTACGCAGTAGTCATCGAATTCAATTATTACAATACCGCCGATTAAGGATGACAGCGATTTTATAATACGCGAGATCATGGATTGTCAATTACGGACTGATTTAGTTCGCATTTACGGAGGGGGAAGGGGGAAGGAGAAAAACGTGCCGCAGATAAATTCAAATGGAAGAATCTGAATCGTACATCACGATAAAGTGTCGTGAAATAACGCGGAATGTAAAATCGGTCTTGTGCGTCACATTATGTAAGAATCGTGATCGGACAGGAATTTTTATGCGTTTATCGCATAAATTCATACTTTACGGTGCGATGAGCGTAGAAATGGTGTCAGGCTACGAGCGGGCAGAGGGGCGGGAAAGGGTGGTTGACAATGCTGAAAGATATATGCGACGCACCTGTGTACATTCCCGTTCGTTCCACAACGGAAAACTAATATACTGCGGATGCGATAATGCACGCCGTTACTCCGTGTCGCTACATTAAAAAAAAATAAAATAAAATAAAATAAAATAAAATGAAGTAAAATGCACGACACGCGGCTGTCCCAAACAATAACGAAGACAAGCATCGAATGTGTAACGATAGTCTTTATCTCTTATCTTATTATCGCGTGTTCGCATATAATATTAATTATCTTTGTCAATAATCTCTTTTTTCTCTTCGAGCGTGAATCGATTATTCGAATGAAATTAGATACGCGGATTTAAGTTTAACGTTCGAGATTTATTTTATTCGATTAACAACGTTAACGCGATATGACCAGTGTCTTTTTCACGTGCTCGGTTCAAAAACGAGACGTGACGAAGTCTAAATGTAGGACGACAATTACGAATCGTTTGAAACGCCGTTCCGTTTCAATGGAAGAAGCGGGACGGAGTTGCAACAATATGCCGTACCGCACGAACACACCGACACTTGCAACAACGACACGGTCTTACATTGTACATCTATTATCCACTTACGTCTCTGAAACGATACGCCGGAATTGCAGTCCCTGGATAACGAGACCTGCCGGCTTTGCGTCGAGTTTAGAAGACATGTAACGCATCTCTCGTCACGTAATATTCAGCGCAGCCCTCGACGAGGGATGAGATTCTAATCAGGGTAATCGAAATCGGGTCTAATTTAGGCGAGTTCAATTTTCGATAATTCGCGTCACACGGACAGAAATCACATTTCGCGTCTGCGTACGCTACATCGGAGATGTATTTGTGAACTCACGAAAATTATAACCAAAATTATACCGACTTCGATCCCCGGTTCTAATTTACTTTAAAGCGGGCCTATCGCGCAACGATGTCGATTAGAGCTGTCCGTGGTAAACCGAGAGCCAATTTCATCGACGCCGTTAATTAACTAACTTGACCCTCTTGCTCCTTTCCAGATCATAGACCTGATCATAATGCAGGTATGCACAGCGAGGAAATTCTATCAACAACGGTTAGTGTTAATTAATAGTGAAATTGATGCTCTCTCTAAAAATTGTTTATTTAAGATAATCTAATATGGAAAATTGAGTAGAAATTCTAAAGTCGATTTAGTTTAACGTTTTTAAGCTTGCTACTCGTCCAATTTAATCTTGTTTACACAAACGGTACTTAACTTTTACATAAATTAATCTAAGAGAACTTATATCCTGAAAAACAAATGCAATTTATTTCAATTTATTATATTTTCTTAATTTCTTTTAATGTATTAGTGTCTTCCGTTCTACCTTACATTTTTAATTCTTTACTAAAAATCTGTGATCTAGAAAGGAATAGAAGATATTGTCATTAAGCATCATTTGTTATCGATGCAATTGACTTTCAATGATATAAAGAAAATTTGTAACGTTATTATTTGTGTTGAATGCTGTATCAACGCGGCAATTTCGTCAATCAACATGTAATTAACGTGCATTAAGAAAAATATTCCGTTATACGTTAATCTTATCTCGTAGATAATCGCCAAGATCATTACAATTCATCTACGCGAGTTGCTGTTGTCGATCTTTTCTATTAAAGATCTCATCGGGACAGTTTCATTTTTATATATGTCGTGTGTACTATATGTCGTATGCGGATTTAGTTTATTTAGGATGTTTACACGAAATATTAACTCGTGAGAGAAACATCTAGCGGGTTCGTGTACATTTCAACTCATTGTCAGTCGTGATATTAGTTTATGATGCGTGATGATATGTTTTTAAGTTTGAAAATGAAGAAAATAAATGAATAATTTAAATAGGATTTAAGCAAGACAAAAAAAAATTTTAAACGCGACGATCGTCGACTACTTCAATTGTTTATCAATTTGTACGATAAGACAGTATCTCGATGATTTACTGGCATTCAGAAGTAGCACAAGTGTTGCATTTAAAATTCAAAAGTGGCTCATACGTTACATTAAAATGCGTACGTTAATATTTTCCTTGTAATACATCTCATTTCTGATCGAGTATTATTCTCGTTGTGCGTGTTGGCACTGTGCAAACACAAAGACTGGAATTATTACTTACGTCTCCCATATATAATTAGATAATTTAACAATTACATAAGCCAACAATTATATCTCTTTAGAAATTAATTTATCTTTCAAAAGTGTAATTTTTTTTCTCTCAAAGAATGCGAGGGAGAATCCAGCGCAAAATTAATTTTTAAGGACAGTGACACGAGAATTAATCCAATCCATCTGTCATATTCGTCATCGAACTTTAACATCTAATAACATTATGAAACAAAAACATAGGCTAATCGCAATAGAGACATTGCCGTTTACTTTCGGAGCATGCGAAAACGAACTCACGCTCAAGCGATCACGCGTACGCGCGATCACGTGTAAAGCGTGATTAGCGTTCCGCTTCTTCGAAAGCGCCGAGGCACACGATCGTAGGTAATGTGTCTCACTTACGGCGGCGGATGTACCACGTTAAGCAGCTCCGACGGCGAAGTGGGAACTCTACGTATTGTCAGCTTCCGGCCGTCGGA